CGGCCGGCAAGCACACCGCGCCGCACCCCCCAGATCCTCCTGTCCCCACGTCTGAGACCTTCACTCTAGGTGCTACAGGCTGCACCCCCTTCCTAGCTTCAGGTCTTTTAACAGTACAAATTATTTCCTCAGAAGGCCACCAGCCCTCATTTGAAGGAACGGGAAAGACAAGCTCCAGCAGAGACAGTTACAGATGTCAAGGCTCCAGTTTGAAGAAAAACCTGGCAGCATAAAGTAGCAGGAAGCTGCGAGCATCTCCCATCGTGTGCACAAAGTCATGGCGAGGACGCGAAACACAGGCACGCTTACAAAGTCGAGTCCAGCCATGGCTGAAGCTGGACTAGGCCTGAGCTGGTGAATCAGAAAAGGGCTCCAGCTTCTCTGTACCTGCCTGAGCTGGAAGTTGTTTGACAAGCTACAAATTATTTGTATTTTCACTATAAACAGGTTGCTTTCATTTAAAAATTGTATTTTAGCAGCAATCATTACAGTTTAACAATAAAAAAATCTAACTGTACATTACATTTTCATGATAGTTCTTGTAGAAGAGATACTTCAACCCTTAAAAATAAACAACCAAATTAAACATCTATTAGAAATGTTTTCTCACTGGAAATAATACCAACATACAGAATTTGTGTAAGACAGTACCATATTCTGCACCGTTAGCTAATTAAAAGTTGCATTCCAGGCAGGTAAAACCAAGCAGAGGCTGCATGATCCTCCTCTAGTGATCATTTGAACTCAGGACCGACATCTGATTTCATCCTTATAAGCCAGCGGACGAAACATGGTTCAGCTCAGGAAGACTGTTTTCCAAAAAAAAAAAAAAAAAAGCAAAAAAAAAAAGCAGCAGCTAGCTCTTTCTTATATTGTCTGAATAACTCAGCATCTCTCAAAACTATTGATCAGCTCCCCTTCCCCTTCCTGCTCTACTTTCAGAAATAACTTATGGCATCTCATGAATATCACATACAAATCTGCAAGTCTACTTCTAACCTTGCTCTCAATTTGATGCTTAATTTTATTTTATATCATAGAATCATAGAATTCTTATGGTTGGAAGAGACCTCAAAGATCATCAAGTCCAACCTTCTACCCAACACCACCATGCCCACTAAACCATGTCTTGAAGTGCCACATCTAAACGTTTTTTGAACACCTCCTGGGATGATGACTCCACCACCTCCGTGGGGAGCCCATTCCAATGCCTAACGACTCTAACAGTGAAGAAGTTCTTTCTAATGTCCAGCCTGAACCTCCCCTGGCACAACTTGAGACTGTTTCCTCTTGCCCCGTCGCTAGTTACTGGGGAGAAGAGACCAACCCCCGCCTCGCTACACCCTCCTTTTAGGTAGTTGTAGAGGTCAATAAGGTCTCCCCTCAACCTTCTTTTCTCCAGGTTGAACAACCCCAGCTCCCTCAGCAGACACACCTCGTGGGTTTTTGTTCATTCAGACTTTTTCTCTTCTTACTGCCTAGACCCTGCTGCTTTAGCCGATCAGTTTCATTTGGCATTCATCCCGCTTGCTGCCCATTGCAAGCTACAGACCAGTACATGCATAACACAGGGCTCTGGGGACCAGCAGTACGTATGTATTTAGAGGGAGGAACTCCTCCAATGGTCCGTAGGTAATACAGAATTCAGAGAGGACTGTGTGCCTACGCAGACATTTGAGGCAGAAAGAGGATGGCCCGGTGGCCGTTCCAGAGAGCAGCCAGAGCCTTGGACTCCCCCACCAAGCTTCCCTCCCTCAATATCAGCTGCTGCAGTAAGGAGGCATGAGAGACTTCACTGGTGGGAGCGATTTGGGCTTCAGAGATTTGGGAATGAAATTTGCAAAGGGAAAGGCTCTCCAGCAGAGTTAATACTTGAGGAGAGCCTTTCATCCTGTCCCTCAGGGTGAGGAGGGGATTGCTCATGGTCCCACCATACTCGCACCTAGGCTCAGCAGAATTCTGGATGGGGCAGCACTGGGTGCCAAGCAGAGCATCATCTCTCTCCTGCCATATTTGTGAACTGTTCTTGAAAAGCAGAGATCAAAGAAAGCAAAGAAATAGCCCAAGTATGCCAACCAAATCACAGCCCTGCTACCAATACCACATAAATGCTCAATTGACAGTGGACTTCAGTTACCTAAAAGTAAGTTTCATTGGTTAGACACACAGCCAGATCATTCCTTTAATTCCACACATACAGACCTCGTGTCTGTATGCACAAATACCTAAAAAGTTAAAGTTATGCAGCTGAGGAAGCAGGCCCGTTCCCTCCATGTTATCGAAAGACAAGCTTCTTATCAGAAGCCAGGTATAAGTACAACAGTCAACTTTTACTTTCATGATTAACATTGGGTCATATTCTTCCCTCTGCACAGAATCTCATCACATATTACTTGCATCTCAGAAAACACAAAACATAATAAAAAAAAGAATGAAAGTTACATTAATCAAATTGTTTGAAATTTTAATTGAGATCCATGTTTGGTTTGCAACAGTTTCTCAAGGGCTACGATGAAACACAAGAATCATTTTGAACAAGGCTAAATAAAAGCACAAATCCCAGGAAATAATTCGGCTCTTGGAGAAGACTGAATAGAAAAGCCTGATTTTAACTAAGATCTACACAATTAACAAAAGCATTAAGGAATGTCCTTGCAAAAATTCCTCCTTTCAGTTAAGGCTTTGAAAAGAAAGTTTTTCAGAAGTGTGGAGCACCTCTAATCTCAAGGCAATACTTGAGAATTAGAAGTCCTTAGCATCTTTGAACTTAGAGCTAGACAATTATTTTCGAAACAAATCTAACTTTACAGTAAAGAGCTTATTAAAAATTAGATTGATTCTTAGCACTGGGAGCTGGCATTGCATTTGCCAGTCACTCAGTTGTTCCTAATTTATTGGACAAAACAAATAATGCAACATTTTATGGTTGGTATTGTTTTATTGTCTAATATTGATTAAATTATTTACACTCCTACTTTTCAATCCACAGTTTAGCACTCATACCTATGGCTTTTACTTTTATGTTTAGCACATCTTTGTGTCAAGTGTCAGAATTTCATTTGAAAAAAACAGGAACCTGATATCATATAGGCAAGTCTCCTCTATATTTATGTTTAAATATATTCACTTTTAAAAATGACGATTTATAAAAGAAGACTGGTGGTAGCTTTCTTTCAGCTCATGTTTACCACAGATTCCACCAAGCTTTTGCTATTTTAAAGTGACCCTTTTAAAGTGTCCTGCTGCCTCCATGTGGAATCTGTTTCCTTCCTCAGCCTCCTGTCTCTAAATTTAATGCAACAAAAAAATCAGTAGCTGACAAATTTAAGCAAAAGTATAAAGCATTATAACATTACCTACATTGCCTTTTCAGAACTAGGCTCTTGAGTACTCTAGGAACTTTGTGGAAGTTTAAACAGTCAGCGTTGAAAAGGCACAGGACTTTTGTGCTCAGAGACTTTCAGCAACAACGTTTTTTTCCCCAGACTGAAAGTTAGGTACCACTGCTAGGATACAGCAAACAGTCCGATCCAAAAATTCACAGGTACTCAATTGCTGCTTACAATAGACCCCACCAGATTTTACTGATTCTTCTGCCACAGACACCCTGCAAATCTACAACAGTTTGCTTCTATTGCAAGAGGAAATGAGGCGAAGTTACTCTAACATATACCCAGGGATGGTGTAACAACGATACAAGGTATCCATTATTAAACTCCTCACAAAGCTGTCTGTGTCTGTGGTAGTTTCTGTTCCTTTCTGTTCCACTGTATTACATGAATGGGAAAGTTATTTTTCACATATGACAGAAGTTTAGTTGTACATGAAGAAAGCTAATTTTGGTCCACTTGTCCAGCTTCCTAGGGACAGCATATTGGAAAGGTGACCACCAACAGTTCAAAAACCAATGTAAAAGTTAACAAAAATAATTTGGTATTTCATTCCTAAACCTGCACAGTGTCGTCATTTGTCCTAGTCATCCACCTTTTCATTCTGTGTATCCACTAATTGTTGAGTTTTTAAGTCTTCATCTTGTTCATGACCTTCCTTATTCGCATCATCTACTTGATTAGGTTCCTTTTCTTCTGCTTCTCGTTGATCAACACTTTCATACGCTACTTGTTCAAGGCCTGTTCCATCTATAAGTTCTGCCTGTACTTCTTCCATCTGTATTTGATTTACGTGCTCAACATGTAACTGCTCCACATGAACTTCAGCACCTTGTTCAGTCTGAATGTGTTCAACTTCCAAGTAACTAATTTGCACCTGTTCTTGCAGTTCATCCATCTGCGTGCCTTTCACTTGATTGTCCTGTATGAGATCCTGGTGCATCTGTTCCACAGTTACCTGTGCAGGGTCCACTTGTACCTGAATTACTGGTAGGACATGGACTTGCTCCACTTGTTCTATTATAGTCATTGATGTTACTGGTTCGGCTTCTACAGCTTCCACTGGAAGAACCTCTTCTGTCATGATTCGTTCTGAAATATTGTGCATTTCTTTGAGATGCCTTCTCAGCTCACTCCCTTGCATAAACCACAAATCACATAAGGTACAGTGGTTGGGTTTGTCACCGGTGTGTATTACCAAGTGATCTTTGAACTGATCCCAGCTGTTAAACACACTATTACAAACCTGAAACAAAAGATACCGTATGTTAAACAATGCCATCAGAAATATGACAAAGTATAGTGCTTATTTCAGATCATGGCTTCACATAGTGTATCTTCTTACTACTTGGATTTAAAAAAACATAGATTAGAGGTACAAGCTGAGAAGTCATCTTCAGATGAACAGAAGACCTGGTATTTATTTATTTATTTTTAAGAAAGTGTGCTACTTTTAGTTGTGCAGACACAGGATACCTACAAAATTTATGAGTTGGTACAGCAATTGAAAATTTTCTTATTTTAACCTACACAAAATTCACCTAAAGTATCATGCCCCAATAAATGTCTGGTGTTACGAGTTTTGGGTGGAAAGCTACTTATGTAATAATACTGTACAATGAAAGTGTAATACAAACTGTCCTTTTACTGAAGTTCTAGATGTAGTACTACTAGCAACTTTTCCTTATCAGCTTTCATTTGCACATAGCGTTGTACGGTTTAACCAGCTAGACTGAACTCTCCTATTTTGGCATTTCAAAAAACCACTTCAGTGATTTCAGCAGATAAAATTATCTTCAAACTCCATCCCTTTAATTATCCTCCAGCCAGAAGTACTGCCAGAACTGCAGACACACTATTTTCACAAAGCACATGAGCACACTTCCTTCCCCTTAGCTGGCATTGAGGTAAGTAGCCTGAAAACAACACACAGAGACTGCAAAAATTAATGAGGTGCCAGGGCAGAAAAGAGAGAAGAGTGGGGCAGAGTCAGGCTCAGAGTAAAGAAACAGACTCAGGAGTCTTTGTCCATGGAAGAACACACATTTCAACACCCTTTCATTGCAAGCAAATAGTTTTGAAAGAGAATGTTCCATCTCCTCATAATTTTTCGCAACAGCACAGAGGGATGATGGAGTATCTGACAGGGATTAACTCAAGAACATGTTTGTGTAGGAGAGCGAAATATCTCCATTTTGCTGTTGAAGTCCGTTAAAACAGGTTTGTCATGTTAGTGCCATGCTTTTTTCTGCCCAGGCTCACATTTTAGAAAGAAGTTGCAGGTACACTCTTAAAATACTAACCTTAGATAAGCATTCATAATTACTTAAGTCATATGTAAAGGTAATGACTATCGGTAAGCCCAAGCACATGATTGTTCTTGCTGCATGGAGCCTAATTCAGTACTCAAGAGATACACTGAAGAGCACCAAAAGTGCACATCAAGGAAGCACAATTTTGAATTCTCCTCTTCGTTCAGTAAGCCAAGATTTATTTATTGAATGCTATTCAAATGTAGTTCTAAAGAGAGAAAAATTCAAGAAAAATTTATCCAAAAATTGCTGTAGTTTCAGCGGGCTGAAAAAACACTAATCCACATTCACAACATCTGTTTTCTGTGAGTAAGATCACTTTCTCTTTTGGAACAAATAAAGCCATTTGGAAAAAGCTGGAACTAAATCCAGCAGTTTTCTTCACTACACAACCCAATTTAACCTCAAACCATAGCCATTCTGTTAACTGAATAAGGCGAGAGCCTTAAGGGGGAGGGGAGGGGGGAGAGACAGAATGAAAGAGAGTGAAAAAGAAGTGTGTTCTTATTTGAAACTGTTACAGCACTGGGGCAGTAAAATGGCAAATAAAAATGCTAAAACCAACCTCAGCTCTTGTATTTTCTAGGTTTCAGAATCAGCTTTTAAAAGCTAAGTAAGATTTATCTGAACAGCTTTTCAAATGTCAGTTACATATAGTCACCAAGTACACTAGCTATCCATCTACTGCATTTATATTTGCTTAAAAGATATTACAGATTGTCATCGTAAGTTGGAATGACTTTCCAGAGAAAGTCAATATATTGAGTATCAAGCAGAAGAATAATAAAATAGGAAATAAAATAGTACTTTGTATTTTGGACTTTAGTAAAGCATGCTCACAAGCAGGAAAGGCCTAGGTGAATGCATCAAGAACCTTGAAAAGGAAGCAGAAAGATCAGTAAAATGCAGAGGAACACTTACCTACCCAGAAGAATCAATCTGATTATAAGTATCATGAGGTTTCATATCAGTAATTTCACATTTTACATGGAACTACTCAGATATAAGAGTTTATCTGTATGTTGTGGTTGAATGCAATCCGTACATTCATTTTACTAAAAGTAGCTCCTGGAGACGTAGGCCCACTCTCGTTGCCTTTCCTGCTCAGTACTCCCACACTCCCTCAGCACAGGAAAGAGGTATCTAGTCTCACACTCTGCTACTTCCATTACCCACCTGACATTCATACAGCTTCTTTCTTCCCTTTTTAGCTCCAGCTCCAGACTGACAGGCTGTCAGGTGACACTTGAGTGTGCTATTCCTAGCAAAACGTTCATGGCAGTTTGGACATTCAAATGGTTTTTCACCTGTTAAGACAGATAAAGGGATTTGTAAGTGTATAAAGCCAGCCAGTTTTCTGTCAGCTCTCTCTTCTTCCCCTCTCTCCCTTTTGTGTAGGTTGATAAATATGCTGTAAAGACATGGCCAACTGGATTCTACTATTTCTCTAGAAGAGAAAGGCATTCTATCTAAACTTTATTTATGTAAAGAAAAAGGCAAGAATCTAATGTGGAGTCATAACTTTCATTTAGAAAAAAAAAAAGTAACAATTACCAGTACCATTTAAGGTACATTTAGGTTTTTATGGAAATTAGATTACTATTCTGATGAAATATCTTAAAGAAATAGCAGCTATTTCTCTCTTTTTGTCTGATAATATTTACAATTAAAGAATCAACACTAGTAAATATACAAAGTGACACATTAAAGAGGGAAGTATTCAAATAATACAAAGTTTTATTTTCAAGAACAGTCACAGCTTATGCTTGAGAGCTGAAACTGAACTCCAGAAAAAGAAGTTGGCATAGAATGACCACAAAATAACAATGCATCAGTATTAAAACAAACAAACACCACCCCTTCCCCCCAAAATACAGTGAAGAGAAAGCACAGAGAGACATAAATGGCTCCAAGTAAGATAAAAATTCCTTTCGGTTTGGCCACTCCATTTCAAATCTAGTACCAAACATAGAAGCCAGCTAAGAACAACAGCAGCCGAGGCTGAAAACAGGTAATTTTCTCTTTTTCATCCAAAGTAGTATATTGTTATTACTGTCATCAAGAAGTAAGAAATAACAACTGATGTCTCTGTTTACTAATTTCATCAGTGATGGAAAACACAGAGAGCATGCCAGCTGTCTGCTCTCCTCTTTCTTTTCTGAGAAACTCTCTGGCAAGCTGGGGTTTAAACTCCTCTGCTGAAAGTGACAACTTGCTTCTCCCCTCCCACGTGTCATCCAACTATGAGTTTAGTTTCATCTAAGTGAGACCATACAAAAGGGAGGTTTTTGGCCTGATCTAATGATTATTTTTTCCTCTCTTTATGAGAATGGATGAGATTTCACTTGCCAATCTTAAGTAAGTCATGGGACAGAAATTCGGACCAGAGATTGTCCAATATTCTGCTGGTCCTTTATAATCTGACAGTCACAGGAAGGTGACTGGCCCAAAAAAATACTTTTTAACATGAAGAAATTCATAACAACATAGTGACTTGTATTTGCCTAATATGTAAGAAATACCAGGGAATTCAATCATAACCATAAATCTACCATATCACTATTTAGATTGGGTTTAGAGAGAAACAGTAAACCTAGGTGGTTTGTTTTTTCCAGAAATACACCAAAGGGAGCTGTTTATCAAATGAACTTCTTGGGATCATTTATTCAAGGTATGTAAATATATTTACATAAATAAATTCACTCCTATGGAAGATGTTATTTGCAGTCCAAAGTACACTTCCTGTAAACCACATTTTCGATTTACCAAGAATGGCCAAGACCTTGATCAATTTTCATAAGAAGTTCATATACAAATTACTTCAGTTACAGGGTTTTCAGACAAGGGCAGATTAATTTAGCTGCTTGGAGCACATTTTAACTCCTTCGCTTCCACCTTCAGCGATGTGAGTACACATACACTCTCCATAAAAGGAAAAAAAGAAAAAAATTATCAAGAAGGCCTAGCTGAGAAATATTCAACATATTGATAGCAGTGGCTTCATTCTAAGATTGATTTCTGTATGAGGAAATTGGTCTTCTTGTGTAAGACAAATTACAGCTATTGAACTCAACAGATATACATCACTTAAGTGCAGCCTTGCAGAATTTCTGCCTTGTGTGTTACTTACAATTGGCAAGTGAAATCTCATCCATCCTCATAAATGGGAAAAAGATAGTAATTAGATAAGACCAAAACCCCTCCATCTTTATAAGCTCTGGAGATGACTTTGTTAATACTTTTGGAGTTACATGACATGCAAGACATTTTTTAGGTATTTTTTCAGAGACTCAGAAGCTGCTTAAGGCACTGTACGCATGAGTGAGAAAGAAACTCCATGGATCTCCTTCCTTTCTTTTATTGAGACAAATATAACAGCCATTGTTAATGTCAAATTCCTACATCAAAAAGAATTACGAACACTGATATGGTGTCTATTTCTGCCCCAATTGCTATTTTCATGTTATTGCTGGTGGTGTGATTAAGCAGCAACAGGATCAAATACTTTGTAGGACATTTTCTCCCAGGCCTTTCAATTTCATTTTAACATTCAAACAGTTTTATACAGAATTCAGAACTTAGAAAGCCTTTGGCTGAATGGGAGCTTTTCCACTAACCTTAGGAGACCACAGTTAAATGGTAATATCTGTTTTAATTTTAAGCTTAAGGCTTTTGAAACCACTAAACCAGAATTAATTAGATGCCATGCATTATACTAGTTGTATCAATATACATTTAGAAAGTATTCTGTACTTCTTGTGGTATACTAAGTTGCTTTGTCTTCAAAATCCTTCATTGCAACAGCAATCAACATATTGTGATATCTGGGTAACTCTGTTAATCTGCCACAAACTTTCCTCTGAAAAGACTTTTGTTAAGTAGCTTGTATTTGGATTGCTCGTAATTGAGAATCACTCGATGCTTCACGGGGGGTAACAATTTGCCAAAGACTGTTTATAAATGGAACTTTTAAGGGGCTATTGGGAATAGACTGGACACAGTGTCATATATCAATATTCAGCAGTCCCATACAGAGATACAAAGAAATTCAAATTAAAAGGCTTTAACAACGATATGAAGCTACGAAAGAAATAGCGCTGCTACCCTCCATTAAATTCTTACTGATGACTCGTGACTGACATATTAAACAAAAACATCTGGAAGATCAGGACCACAAATATTTTACATTCAGAGTTATCTGTATAATGCTCAGTATCTGTTCAGATAGTAGACTTTTCAGTGAGATGAAGAAGTAGCATCTTAACCTCCCACATAAAGAAGAAAGAAGGAGCACAAGTCATTTTGCACTTAAAGGATGCTATCCAGATTTCAAAGAGGCAGATTTCACAGTAAAAAAAGTATACTATAGTCAGTAGAAATGTTTTGCTGTATTAATTAACAAAGAAAAACCATATCATAGATGAGATGTCAAGGGCAAGGGTGAAACTTTCCAAACAAGATGGTACAAGACAGAATTGTTAGGGGGTATTGTATGCCTAATGCATTAATAGGCATCTGCTCAGAAGTTCTGTTAGATAAAGAAACCCTCTAAACTGTACTGCACTGAGAATCTCACAGCTCAGATCGTATTTCAACAGAAGCGTTTACTAGGAGAATTGTGAAAATAAAGCAGTTCTTCAGTTTGGTACTTTTGAAGAAAGAAATGTGCCTTAAGAAAGAATTTTGAAAAAATCTTTAAGTTTTAATAGACTTGAGAGAGAAGCTTCATTAGTGCTTTCGGGTTTTAGGTGCCTATTTTTAACCACCTCAATGCCTCAAAAGTTTATATCAATGGAAAACAAAACAAACGAACAAACAAAAAGCCAAATCAGCATTTTAGTTGTAACTAGAAGCCAAGTATTTCTAGCACCCAGGACTCATGTGTTCTCTTCAGCATATTCTCTATTTCCCCAAAACATGCAAAACCCCTAAATGCTAGAGCCAAGACCACAAGGACAGGACTACAGCAGTACTCTTACCTGTGTGCTTCCGGAGGTGCTCTTTAAAATGTCCAAAGTGATCAAACTGCTTATCACAGTACTGGCATATATGTATTTTTTTGCCAGGTCTTTGCTTCTTGCTGGCACCACCTTCATCAAGGTGGTAACAGGTGAGGTGCTGTTTCAAAGCACTCTCTCGTAGGTACCTTTTATTGCATATGTCACACTTGTAACTCTCAGTAGAGTGTGTTTTCATGTGTTCCTTAAAATGGTAAAACAATTTAAACGAGCGGTTACATTTCTCACAGTGGAATAAATTGTTCACGTGTGACAGCTGAAGTTCCACAATTTCAATACCTTCTACCTGTTTGCACGAGGGATCAGTTGCACTATCCCCTTCTTGGATCTGGCATTTTCTCTCTCCCTGACGATACTTGCTGGTGATATCTGCCAAAAGAGCCAATGCAGATTCATCTGATGTACCTGTTGTCTGTATGTACTTTATGGATTGTTCTGCGGAAGTTACTTCTTCAAGTGTTTCCACACTGTCATCTTCCACTTCAATTGTCCCTTCAGCTATCTCAACCTCAATTTCAACAGGCTCTGATTCTGCAGATGGCAGTGTTTCTGTGATAACATTAGAGGTTTCAGCTATCTTCCTTTTTTTTGGTTTATTGTTACCTTGTGCTTGACTTGATTCCAAGGGCGAGGAATTTTCTTTGTTCCTGTAAAGCGTTTACATGAACATGGTTAAGGTCCATAAGCACTGACATAACAATTCCCGTCTAATACTGAGCCTCTGCATCCAACACTCTCTAGCTCTTTCTCAAAGAAGCTGAACAATGAATGACTACATAATCTGTGTGCATGTCAGAAGCTAATTTGTCCTTAATCTATACTCCTTAGAGCTGTAAAATAGCATGGTTAAAGCTGCAGAACCTTTGACATAAGGCTACTAAAGTGTTTTAAATAGCTCTGCTTGAATGATACAAAGCATCTATCAAGAATAAAGGCCAGTTAACCTAATGACATAGGTTTATCTAAGAAACTTGTGCAATTCTGTACTTGGAACAAAAACTTCCCTGAAGAAAGGAGTTCTTCAGCCTGCCTACTTGGAAATAAGATTTGAGTCCTTCCTATGATATTCAACTCTAAAGCTCTGGAGCATTTGCAATTGCCTGCAGTGCTGACAGCTTGTCAGAAAACACTACAGCTATGACTTCACACAAATATTATTATAACATCTTGTACTTCAGGAAAGCACATAGCTAACAGTTCAGGTAAAAATAAAAGCCACTGGGATGTGGAAGGAGTATTCTAGTTTAATTTTCTGGGCTTAAACATAACCCCCAGGTTTGTTCCTGTTCTGCCTGTATCATACACACGTAACCTCCTTCCTCCAAGATGTCAGGGATAGCATTCCATCTCAAGCACAGAGCCAAGTGGGCCAATGCTTCCAAGTCACACCCTCAAGATCATCTACAGCACTTACGTGCTGAAGGTTTTACTACTGCTTATCAGTTTTGGAAATGAGTGCCTGTCTTCCCCTCCAATCAGACTGACAGGAGTAAGCTGTGCTTTTATCTTCCTTTTCAGCCTGATGAATCCTTTCACGTAATCTACTCCCTACCACTTTCACGTTTTCTAGTAACAAGAGAGATAAGGCTTAGCCCAGTATCTGTAAGTCATATTTCAGAGATGTGTGGCTAATGATCTAATGCAGAATACAACTTATTAAATTGCACCTTACTCTATTCAGACACAGGAAGACAGAGCAGCTAAACTTAATTTCATCTGGTGTAGATTTCTGATGCCTAGGTGATAGCTACTTTGCACGTTACTGCAAGGAGCTCCAGGATCACGTACCAAAAGAATAATCTGCTCAGCAAAGAAGAGACTACCGTCCTTGACCACATTGTGTGAAACTTTGAATGGGGATGCACACACAGAACACAACCGCACGTTAAGGAGTAACAGCTGGTTGTTTTCTTTCTAGTCTAGATTATACAATGTGCAACTCTTTGACGCATTATACAAATAGTTCTATAATCACCTCTACTTCAGCTGAAGTTTCTGAAGCTTGCCCCTTTTAGTCAAAGCTCTGACTGAGGCACTGTATTGCAATTCTTCCCCCCTCTTACTGTGAAGGAGAAAACACAGACTGACAGGTGGTACTCAAGTTTGTCTTTCTAACCAAAAAACCCAAACCAAACCAAACAAACCCTCACAAAAAAACTTTTCAAAATCTATGAACAATGGAAGTAACTCTAAGAATAGACTGGTTTGCATGTGTGCTTGTTAAGCAAAACATTTGTTTCCTTGTAACATAAGAATTATAGCATTTACTACTGATGCATAACCAACAAACTGCATAACATTATACAATGGTGGGAAATAATTGCAGGCTGGACAGTTTAGCTTGATAGATGGATCTGAATCCTGGTTCAACAGCTCTAATGGTGTATATTGAGTCGAAGTGATACTGATTAGAACATACTTTCTCAGTTTCAAGTTTCTTTTAAATTCCTCAAGCAGACAGCTAAGGTCTGCTTTTTTTCCTGAATCAAAAAAAAAATAAAATATTCTTTTGGTGGTACCACACTTAATCTTAATCATGTCAAAAAAAGGGTGTTTGTGGGGTTGGAAGGTAGGACTAGAAATGCACAGTTCCATATCTTTCGACTAAAAAAAATTACATACTTATTCAGCTCTACTGCCAATCCACAGAATAAGCACAGAATAAGTTAATTCGGAAATACATGCTGATGTTGTAAACCAAGTTTCTGGTGTATCATGTCATGTAGGTTTGGTTTTTTTAAACAAAATGTTAGCTGGCTACTAGAGGAACTTGAGGCCAAAGCCACTCTCCTAATGTGTCTATGGGGAGATAAAAAGGAAGAAATAGCCTTTCCTTAGCCTGAATGCAAAGACCTTTCAGCAAGCCCAGAAAAGAAAGCAAGAATAATCATAATGCTGGGAGCATTTATTGCCCCTCCCTCTGCTTCATGCCAGCAGAACATTTGATTAAGTATTGATCCCATATAAAACTGATTATAACAGTTACGTTCATAAGTTTGAGAGGTTAATTTTGCAGCAAGAAGTTCTAAGATCACTGCTTATTCTCTCAGAAATAGCAGAAAGCTGCAGGAAACCAAAACACGAGCACAAGCTTGTTAATGTGGTCTAATTATCCGAGGCACATCCTCACAGACAGACACAGACACAACACAGACAGGAAAAGCAGGGCTCCTTGGTTGACAGACAGGGCCCTTGGCCAACCAAATGCCTCAGTCAGAGAAGTTTCTAGACCACTGGCCATACATGACCACAGATCAGATTCAACCTAGGGTATAAATGGAGCCCTGCCGGGGGACCTTGTTGAGTTGGTCCTCCTCAGAGCAGTGGGTCTGCAGCTGGCGACTCTCCTCTTAGGTTAGGATGCCACCCAAGGAAATTCCTTGAGGTTGAGAGCGCTCATAAGCGAGTGATTGCACATTTTGGATTATCATTCCAAAGTGTAGGGATCCCCTGAGCTGTGTAGTAATTGAATTCCACATAGCACATTTGCTTTTACCCTGAGTTTCAACTTTGGTTAGATGAATAAATTCTCCTTTTGAGTTTGCCATCTGCCTGGTTTGGTTGCATACACATAATCCTTTAGACAAACGGTTGACCAAGTCTGGGACTAGGAATGGGTCCAGCCACACCTACACTCCTCTCTGAGAAGGAGTTCAGAAAGCAAGGGAGTTCCTCTCTGAATCTTACAACTCAACAGGAGGGTCTCCCTAACAGTTTTGTCTAACTTTGTCCCCTATGTAGTAACTACTGGTGTGCCTCTGCGACAATCTGGTATTCGTTACCACAAAGTCACAGCCCTGTAATCTCTGCAACATTTACCAGCCATGTCACTTGTCATCAAGTTCAGCCCAAAGAATGCAACACTGATTTTTTAGCCTGTGTAATTCTAAACCATATCTTATAGTAGAGGAGTATATGGTCCCACACAAGTTTAGAAGGTTCCAGGATAACGAACAGCACTGCAAAATTCTGGCAGCCAACTCTTGTAAAAGGTCTCTTGTGACTCTACATTTCACTCTTGGGAAGAAAAAGAGGATTATGTGCTTACCTAATTTCAAGTGCTTTGATTGCTTCTAACATCTGTAGATACTCCGCTGCTTTCCAAACATCATTTGCTTCTTCCTCACCTTGGACCATTAGTTTTGCTGTATAGGTGAACTCAATTAGGTGACGAAATGCCATGTTACTTACACCTGTATATAGGCAAGAAAAAGAAAATTTTCTTTTAGCAATTCCTCAGTCTCATCTACCTGATGAATCTTACACACTTGCCTGCTCACTATTTTGCTCACACTAATGCAGCAGCCAGTTTCATAAAGATGACACCCTTAAAAGGCTCCTGTTGGAATAAAAAGTCTGCTATAGAAGCATGTGAATCTGCAACAACTATAGTTATGCCACAACAAAGATAAAAGGAAGGGTAAGACAGACAAAAAGCTGTTTGAATAATAAAAAGTATAGATTTAAACACAAAAATACAATCTTTCTCTCAAGAGAACTCTGAGCAGCAAGTTACTGGAGGCTGAAATGTTGCTCCAGGAATTTGCTTCCTGCCTATCAGGCAAGTATTGTTCCATGTCTATCCTGTTCTTGCAGCCCAGCCAAAGCATCTGCCATTGGCCATCACTGGCAGCCTTATTCATCTGACCAGAATGGCTGTTGTCAAGGAAAATATTATATGTCACACTGCTAGTCCTAAAAACATACAGGGTCTGCCTCACCTCCAGTAGCCATGTACTGGGGGGAAGCAAAAAAAAAAAAAAAAAGAACACCCACATTTTCCCTTCCAAAAGATGTAAATCAAGACTATTTTTAATTTTTCTTCAGAGGAAATTTTTTTCAAGTGGTGGTAGCTGCCTCAGAATAAGTCAAGAGCTGAGATCTAGAAAGCTAATGGATATGACCAAGCATGTCTGTAACCCCTTACCAAAGATACTACATTCATTTCCAGCTTGGTCACACAACTCTGAAGGTTATTATTTGCACAAAGCAGATTACCTTCAATTTCCACCAAAGGCTCCTGAGTGAAATCTTGGAAGAATTTGTAGAAGAACTGGCTACAGGCAGCAAGAACAGCCTTATGAGCTTTGAAATGGTGACCTACAAAGAGAGACAAAAATGTTGGTTTAGGATAACACCTTCCTCACTTATAGTGCAGATTTAAGTGCAGACGTAGAAAAGAGACCACCCAGTCCACAGATCTCTTCCAGCAGCATACAGTCACTTACTATGCCTCCTTGTAACAGCCACCCGCCCGGAGC